TCAAATTACAGCTTTTTAAAAATCATTATTAGATTTTTCTCTTCCCATGACATAGGTTATACAAGTGTTTCAAAATTAATCTTTTATTCTCATTTACTTATTAGGAATGCAGTGGAGGCTTGTGATTATCAGAGTTGAACTGAGAAATGTTTAGTTTGGCACCAAGGGAATTGATGTGCAAAATACAGAATTTTGTGCAGCCTGTGCATAGATAGCATTTACTGTCTGTTCCCAAGGGCTAGCTGATCCAAGTAGAGAATGCAGCTGCTTAGAATTTGCTTAAGCCAGAATACTGAAGGCACTCTATTCCTAACTGCTAAGTGGTGAAGATAAGAGAAATGTAGGAATAACAATAGTGACTGCCAGCGCGCACTCAACGTGGAACACTGAATGAGCCATTATGCTGTTTGTCACTCAGGCAGGCCTCAGACTTGCTCTGTTACCAAGAGTGTCTTGAACTTCTGACCTGCCAGCCTCTATTTCCCAAGTGCTAGAATTATTATATGCCTAGAGTTTTGCAGTGCTTAGGAGAAAACCTAGGCTTTATCCATGTTAGTTAAGCATGACAAATTCAGCTCCATCCCTCAACACTTACTTAGGTATTTCCTTATTCAATCTGAAGAATTTAGGAACTCTGTTGCCTTTTTTTTCCCCTCTCTCTCTCTTCAGTATCTTTAGGCAAGGTGTCATTATGTAATCCAAACTGACCTCAAGCTTTGTATGTAGCTTTGTTGCCAGGGCTGATCTCTAACTCAAGGCAGTTCTCTCGCCCTCCTGAGTGCTTGGATTATAGTGCTTGGATTACACTTCCAAAAGAAGTGTACACATGAAGTCAATATTGAATGTCTCCTTCAGTTCTCCTAATTTCTTACATTTATTTTTTGAGACAACTTACTGAGTTTGGCACAGGATCTTTGAGTCTGGCTAGCCAGTGAGTTCCAGAGAGCCTCCTGTTTGCATCTCCCCAGTACTGAGGTTACAGTCCCACACATAGAGCCTTGAACTTGCAGTGATTCCCCTTGCCTCAGTGTTGGGATTTCAGATGGCCAGTTTCTGTGGCATTCCTCATTCGCAGTTGAGAAGAGTGAGTTTCTGAAACATTGTGATTGTAACTTGTTACACATGTCCTTTATAGTATAGCGATGAACAAATATAATGCCCAGAACAGTGTTTGGTATGTATTAAATGCTCACTGAATACAAGATGGTTTCTGAAGTACAAAGTGCCATGTATTCCCTGGGAGGGCTCATCTCCTTCATGATAGAAAAATAAAGTGTCCTTCTAGGTTTAAAAAAAAAAAAAAAAAAAGGTGGTAATAAGGGGTTGGTATTTTTAGTTTTGCTACTATGTAAGGTGCTTAGGAGTAAAATAATAGAAAAAAATCTAGAGATGAAAATCTGATTTTGGGGAAAAGCTCTTGAGCTATCTTGAAAGGATGGGAGTAGTAGCACACACATAATGACTGGTGGAGAGAAACAACTAGTATTCTCATTCATTTCTGGTAGGAATGAGAATAGCCACTTTAGGAGGTAGTTTGGCATTTCATAAAAACTAAGCATGCTTTACCATACAGTGTAGAAATTATGCACCTTGGTATTTACGTAAAGGAGTTGAAAACTGTAACATAAAAACTGCATAGATGTTTATAGAAGCTTTATTCATAATTGCCCAAACTGTAAGCATCCAAGATGTCTTTTATTAGGTGAACAAATAAATAAACTGGAGCACATTCACATGTGGAATGGGTTTTAACCATGAGGAAAAAGAAAAAGAAAACAAATTAACAAGCCATAAGAAGACTTGGAGGAAATTTAAATTATGAAATGAAAGAGCCAGTCTAAAAGTTAACATGTTCCATGCTTCCAACTCTATGACGTTCTGGAGAAGGCACTGTATAGGCAGTAAATAGATCATTGGGCCAGGTATGGTGCTATATGTCTCTGATCCCAATACCTGGGAGGCAGTGGCAGGCAGATCCTCTGTGAGTTGGCGGCCAGCCTGGTCTACAATAGTGGGTTCCAGGACAGCCAGGGCTACACACTGAGACCTTGCCAGGCTCCCCATCTGCTCCAGACAGAGAGGTTATTAGTTTCCATTGTATAGATGGGTGGAAAGGGTAAGTAGACAAAGCACAGGATTTTTAGGGCAATCAAACTATTTCATGTTTTACTCAAATAAAGAATACATGAAGTGTTTATCCAAATTCACAAGTTCTGTAGCTCTAGATAAGAACTCTAATGTAAGCTGTAGACTTTGTAATAATCCTTTATCAGTTAGTGGGGAAAAGAATACATGTGTGGGACTGGAGAGATGGCTCAGTGCTTAAGAGCATTGGCTGTGCTTCCAGAGGTCCTGAGTTCAATTCCCAGCAGCCACATGGTAGCTCACAACCATCTACAATGAGATCTGTGCCCTCTTCTGGTATGCAGGTATACATGCAGATAGAGCACTGTATACATAATAAATAAATCTTAAAAAAAAAGTACGTGTGTGAGACAGGCTACCTTCTACTCAGTTTTTCTGTGAACCTAAAAGAGTTCCAAATTTTGCAGTATGAAATCTTAACAAAAAAGTCAAAGTTTCAGAAGTGAAATTGTATTCACTGTTACATAATGACCTAGCCCCAAATTTGGTGGCTCAAAGCAACTGTCCTATTATCTGCTTTAAAGCCCTGTGAATCAGTGATTTGGGCCGAGCTTAGTTTGGAGTTTTTGATCTTACCTGTGGTCATTTCTGTGGCTGTGATCATCTAGTACAGTAGTTCTCAACCTGTAGGGTCACAACCCCTTTGGAGGTCAATGACCTTTTCACAGGGGTCACCTAAGACCATCAGAAAACACAGATATTTATATTACAATCTTGCTTCATAACTGTAGCAAGATTACAGTTACGAAGTAGCAATGAAAATAATTTTATGGTTGGGGTCACCACAACATGAGGAACTGTATGAAAGGGTCACAGCACTAGGAAGATTGGGAACCACTGTCTACAGGCACCACTCCAGTTGGATCATCGTAAGATGGTTTCTTTTGCATATCTGGGTTTTGGCCATCAAAGTAGTAGTGGTAGTGTGTGATACTCTGGCTGTTGGCTAGACTTCTTCATGTTGCAGAAGAAAAATTCTAACAGCAGTAGAAGCTATGATGGTCCTCTAGACTTAGGCATGGCAGTCTATTTCACCATATTCTATTGTTCAAAAGAAGTTAGAAGGCCGTTCTAGATGCAATGGGAGCAGAAATATACTCCACCCTTGATGGAAGGACTGCAAAAGTTTTGTGAGCTTTTGCAGAGGGGAAACCTACCACTAATAGAAGATGTCAGGGTCAGTTTGGATGTGTTACTGAGACCCTTTGGTCTTTTGTTTTGCCTAAATAGTATTCTCCAAATTTATTCAAAGCTCCTTGGTTTTCCTTGTTATCCTCCTCTTAAACACACAACACACATTCTTACACACACACACACACACACACACACACACACACACACACACACACAGTTTCTCTTAGAAAGGACAAAAGAAATAAAAATAAAAGCATTTTCTAATAATTGATTGCGTTTTGAAAACTCTAAAGGGTAAAACCATTTTGAAAAAGAAAATATAAGGGGCTGGAGAGATGACCCTGTAGTTAAGAGAACTGGCTGCTCTTGCAGAGGACCTGGTTTTGATTCCCAGCACCCACATTGGCAGTTCACAACTCTAGTCTGTAACTTCAGTCCGAAGGGATGCATTGCTTTCTTCTAGCCTCTTTGAGCATCAGGCATACATGTGCTGCACAGACATGCATGCAGACAAAACACTCATACACATAAAATAGATAAATAATAATTTAAAGTATATATATTTTTCAGAAAGCTGGGCGTGGTGGCTCATGTTTGTAGTCGTAGTGATTGGGAGGCCAATGTAGTAAGATTACCACAAGTTTGAGGCCAACCTGGGCTGCAGAGTAAATTCTAGACCAGCCTAGGCTATAGAAAAAGACAGAGGGAGACAGCTCAGTGATTAACAAATGTACTGTTTTTCCAGAGGACTCATGTTCAAGTTTTAACACTCTAGCACCAGGGGATCCAACACCCTTTCTAGCCTCAGAGCACAAATGCAGTTTGTGGGCACACACACATATAAAATATTGATGAAATACTTTAAAATTCAATTTAAAGTTATTTTCAATATTTTTAGGAACGTGAGTTTGATTAACAGGAATAATGGAGAACTATTTAGAGTTCTGGCTTATAATAGACAAAGATTTTGTGTTATTACCACATCACTTGTTAGTGTGTGGTGTTTAAAGTGTTTTAATGTGTTCTTTGAAATTTGTGACCACAGTATTAATTTCATAGGAAATTTATTTGATTGATATTCTATTCAGGTAGACATGATCACCTTTTAGAATTATCTGAAATACTTAAGGAGTTGATTCTGAATTGGTTGTTTTTACTTCTGTCTTATTTACTAATACACAACAGATAAAAATGCAATTTTCTCTGAGCTGTGTTAGTTTATAATCCTTGTGGTTGCTATTTTATTTTGCTTTCTATTCTGAAAGAGTTCTTAGCTTTTGTTCATTAATCATAGGAAACAGGTGTGCAGCGTGCCTTGCCATTAAGTTGAACATCTAAATTTAGTCCTGCTACAATCAGTGGTTGGGGAAAAAAGTTTCAGCAATGTATTACATGTGTTAAACAGACACCGCAAAGTTAGAAGGAACTCTGAAGCAATAAGTAAGTGGTTTCTGTTATGTCTGTGTCCATGTATTTACTTAAATATATACTTAGGAAATCTTTTCATTAAACAGATGAACAAATTACAACTGTTAAGTCATTTGCTATATATACAAGAGCTTTGCTTATGAACTATGCTGTTTAATCATTTCAGAAGATGATTGAGGTGATAAACACTTATCTGCATATCTGTTTTAATTTATAAAGGAATATAATCTGTTTATTCTATGTGGATAGCTTCTCCTCTTTTTCTTCAGAGTTCGTATAAAGCTGGTCAGGAAATGGCATCCTGGTTGTATGAGTGTCTTTGTGAAGCTGAGCTTGCACAGTATTATCCTCATTTTACTGCACTTGGCCTTCAGAAAATTGATGAATTAGCCAAGGTTACAATGAAGGACTACTCCAGATTGGGAATCCATGACATGAACGACCGCAAACGTCTTTTCCAACTTATCAAAATCATTAAGATTATGCAGGAGGAAGATAAAGCTGTCAGTATTCCAGAGCATCTTCTTCAGGGAAGCGGCCTATACACTAAACCTCAGGAATTCAGATCAGGCCCCCGAAGACAACTGCATTTTGATTCTCCTGCTGACAGCAAAGACAGAATGGCCAGCAATGAAATGTGCAGTTTATCCGACTTGTCTGTAGGTGAGCAGAAGTCCACTTACCTGAAAGTGCTGGGACACGCGCTATCAGATGACTCCCAGGGCCAGCAAAAACTGAGACCCACGAGTGCTTCTGCTGCCGAAGCTTGTGTGCAGACGGAAACTAGCTGTGCTCTCTTTTCATCAGATTACTTTTCTCCCAAACTAGGAAGTTGTGATAGTCCGGTTATTCAAAGAGTCTTGCCTGTTTCAGGGTATAACTATGGAATCCCTCATTCCTCTGCCAGGTAATTATTTTTACTTTTTTGGGAGAGGTGGGGGACGACATCTTTCCTTCATCACTAGAGGAGTCCAAATACTCCTAATTCTTAGTAAATGACTGTAACATATGAATGATGGTTAGCAAGTTTTGCATTAATAATTACAGGAAGTGCATAGAAGCAGATTAATGAGGAACTAGAACTTTTCAGATGGCGAAAAGCTGATGTACGTCAAACAAACAGCTACTGCTTATCAGGGTCTGCTGTAATCCTCTAGCAGACCTATTACTATTACTTATGGTACACCTAGTATATTCATGAAAGCAGTTAATCTGCCTTCTACATTGGAAAAAAAATCACTTACTCCACAGGATTTTTTTAAAGGACTTCAAACTCATACTGGCCAGGTGACCTGTGCCCTCCGCGAGGCCAGAGAGCAAGCAGTAAACTGGGTAGCTCCTTGAGCACTTGGTCGCATGCACACACTGAGACAGGATCCTGATTTTGACTGCAATTTTTTTTTTTTTAAATCCAGCCCTAGAAAAATATACAATTTTTGGTGATTACAAAGAATAACAGCTTTTGATGGCAATTAGATGTTTTGAGTCAGAATAATAATAAGCTATTTTCACCCAGTTCTTCAAGATAGAATTTTTTTTTAAAGATTTATTTATTTTATGTATATGAGTATTCTATCTGCACTTACATCTGCTAGAAGAAGAAATCAGTTCACATTATAGATGGTTGTGAGCCACCATGTGGTCGCTGGGAATTGAACTCATGACCTTTGGAAGAACAGATGGTGCTCTTAACCACTGAGCCATCTCTCCAGCCCCAAGATAGAATTTTAAATGAGATCCCTGAAAGATGAAATACTGAGTAATCCCCAGTGCTAAGAATGATATAATAAAAAATATGTTCTTTTAAAATATATTATTTGTTATGTTATTATGAAAGTAATATATATGAGTTATGGGAAAATAAAAATCATTCGTTTGTTTGTTTGTTTGTTTGTTTGTTTGTTTTTTAAGATAGGGTTCCTCTGTATAACAGACCTGGCTGTTCTAGAACTCATTTTGTAGACCAGGCTGGTCTTGAACTCACAGAGATCAGCCTGCCCCTGCCTCCTGAGTACTGGGATTAGGTGAAAGTACCTATAATAATTTGAAATACTTGTCCTAGCAGAGCACAGAGGATTTAGAAATATTTTTCTTCTTTTAATCGTAGATTGTAAATATGAAAGGTAAAAGAAAAAACTTTCTTTACTCTTTTTGTCTTTTATTGAACAACACATAAAAATATAAATTAGAATTATTTATAAAATACTACTTTTCACTGCTTAACATATTATGACTTAGAATGTATATTTTAATTTAAATATTGCTGCTTAATATTTAAAATAATAAGATATTTGTTTTATGAATATTAAGTAATAGCTGTGATGTCTGGTATGATGATAATTAAGATGTCTGGAGGCTCTTAGATGTTAAGGAGCAAGGTAAGAGATGATGGACAAATTTAATCATTTGTGCCAGGCACACAGCAAACCCAGAACTCAGGCAAGACAGACAGCTAGCCTTGGCCACATAGAAAGATCCTATCTCAAAACCAATGAACCAGAAAGTACCCACTTGGAAACTTTCCTCTTTGCCTTTTGAACTTAAAAAACCAAGGAGGCCTTTTGTCCATGTGACTCATCCTGGAATCCCTACACAACTCTAAAAACAACTAGCTGGGCATAGTGCACGTATAACACTGTGGGTGCTCAAGCCACACTGCAAGACCTTGTCTGAAAGCCTAACAAATAAACATAAAAGGTCTAAGCAATTTTGTCCTCATTGATTAGCTTCCTATGATTAGGTTATCAATGCCAAACATCTAAAGATTTTGACCCCAAGGCCTTATTAAAATAGTGGATTAGAGTAAAACATAAAACAACAACAACAAAAAGATTTTATAAAGGAACAGATAATAATATAAACCAAAAAGTAAACTAGGTTCCAAAATAATGGGTTAAAATATTCTCTTTCATCTTGTGAAAACTTAAGCACATGTGCAGAAGAGAACAGTAAACCCCATGTGCTCATCGTCAAGCCCGTCCTCAAGTGATGCAGCTCATATCTGAATTGAAATAGTAAGGTGTGCTTTAAGATGACCTAAAGTCATGCACTATGAGTATTGGAAATTTTGTTGGTTTGTTGTAAAAACTAATTTGGACCCTGGCAAAGAAATAATTTTCCAGCCAGTTGGTAGGCTCAGAAACATCAGAATTTATTTGAAGAATTATATCACTATATCATTTTGTATTAAATTTTTGTAAAATCTATTATTAAAATTTTTGCAAAGAGCCAGACACGTGCCTGTAATCCCAGCACTCTGGGAGGCAGAGGCAGGTAGATCTCTGTGAATTCAAAGCCAGCCTGATCTACAAAATGAGTTCAGGACAGCCAGGACAACACAGAGAAACCCTGTCTAGAAAAACAAAAAAAAAGAAAAAAGTTTTGTAAGGGACTGTCAAATAAATTTTAAAGTTGTATGGGAGGGAATTATTGCTAATGTATTCTTTTATATACACCAAAACTATTAATCCTATAAAAAAAATTTCTTTCAAAACTCTTATTTTCAGAAGGGAAATGGATCTTTTTTTTTTTTTTTTTTTTTTTAACAACCTAGTTTTAGAGAGTTTCTATGTGAGTGGTTGGTTCATAACACATGGGACTCAGCAAATGAACCTCGTGAATTTTGTGTCCCTAAATCAGATGCTGGGTGTTGAATAGTTCACTGAAGCCAGTGAAAGAGTGCATTGAATAGAAGATCGAGTCAGCAGTAGACAGGAACATTTATAAAAGTCTTCAGAGAAGAGAAAAATGGCTATTCTAACAAATGAATGAATTCATATCAGAGTGGGGCAAAAAGAAGGAAGCAGGGCTGTGGGGATAGCTCAGCTGATGAAAAGCTGGCCATGCAGGCATAGGGCCGAGTATGATCCCAGCACAATGAAGCCTATGTGGTTGCACACCTGTAATCTCAGCACTGACGAGGTTGAGACAGCTGGGTCCTTGATTCTTGCCCTAGATCCCAGTGAAAAATTCTGTCTCAGAAAACAAGGAGGACAGAGCTTGAGGAGAAACCACACCTAAGGTTGTCTCCTGGCCTCCATACATGTACATGCACACACACGGGCACAAGGAAAGAAAGGAAAAGGAGCAGGACTCCAGGAGGGGCTGCGTATGTATATGAGGAATAGGAGGTAAAGTACATTGAGACCCACACCTAATTTGAGACTTAGTAAACCAATAGGATTAAAGGGGGGGTGTGTGTGTAGGGTTTGGGGATGTCCTTCAATTGGTACAGTGCTTACTTGGCATGCGCTAAACCTTGGGTTTACTCCCCAGCATCTAATAAACTTGGTCTGGTGGCATATGCCTGTGACTCAGCCTGCTTTACAAGAGACTCCATCTCAAAATACGCACACACACTAAGCAAAACTTTAGATTAATGGTCAAGAAAATGTTAAGAGTGCAAGAATTAGAGTGAAAGGGAACAAGAGATATAGGTTTGGGTTTTGGAAAGGCCTTGGAGTCTTAGTAACAGAATATGGATAAGTCTTGATGAATAACTAACTAGATTTTGGGGAGCACAGAAAGCACCAGGAGACCACATTTAGAATCCGAACATACAAGTCTTTGAGCTAGCATAACTGAGAGTTTAGTTACTAGCCTCCTCCTCTTCCTCTTCCTCCCCTTCCTTCTCCTTCTCCTCCTTGGTCAGAGATGGAAACCAAAGGTTCGCCAGTAAAACTTTTTTTCATTGCTGACATTTAATGTGGCATTGTTTAAATGAACTTGACATACAGGCATCATGGGCCTGTAATCCCAGCATGTGGGAGGTGGAGACCAGAGGTGGATGAGCTCCAGGCTAGCCTGCACAACAGTATTGATACCTGTCTCAAAACTTGGGTTCGGTGGTACACACCTGTAATCCCAACACTTGGTAGGCTAGGGTAGAAAGTCAGGGCCAGCATGGGCAACAAGTTCTAGATCAGCTTGAGCTACAAAGTCTCAAATACAAAACCTGTCTCAAAAACAAAACCTGTCTCAAAACCCTGTCTCAAAAACAAAACCAATAAACCAAACAAATAAAAAAAAAAACATTATATTAAACATACTCAACATGTACTGACTTTGACCATTTAAGTAATTGAATCCTTTAATTAAAAATTAAAGTATATTTGTAAACATTTATCAGACAGATCACCTCAGAAAATCCTTGGACTGAAATGGAGAAAATCAGAGTTTGTGTTCGAAAACGGCCTTTAGGTGTAAGGGAAATACGTCGTGGGGAAGTCAATGTCATTACTGTAGAAGATAAAGAAACTCTCCTTGTACATGAGAAAAAAGAAGCTGTTGACCTCACACAATATATTCTTCAGGTAGGGTCTTCCACTTACTCTGTTTTAACCTAATATCAAGTATGTCAGTTTCTGCTTTATGTTTAATGGGTTCTTCTAAAATCCAGCTTCTGGATTTTACGTGTTGATTTCCTTAATGTGTGTGTGTTTGTTTAGAGTTAGAATCTCACCCCAAATAGAACTCAAAGAGATCCAGCTACCTCTGCTTCCTGAATGCTAGGACTAATGGCATGTGCCATTGTGCCCAGCTTTTCATTTTTATCCTAGGTTACTGATACCTTGAGCCTTCATTATTTTTTTTAAAAATGTAGTGCATTTATGATATACATGGTTGCAAAACCGTGATTTCTGCATTATGCAGTGACGCTCTACCATATATATTCACTTAGCATGTTTATGTGAATCTAATTATACATATTTAGCAAAATCAAGGGTATAGAATAAGTACTTATTGATGCCCAATTGCTTCGAGTGGTGGTTGCATACTTGGTCTCCTTTCTTACCTGCATCTTGCAGTGTGAACTGTTTGGTTTCCGTTTGTTTCTGTTGTTTTCTCTGGGTGGCCATGGGTGTCGGTGAACTCGCTCTGTAGAACAGGCAGGCCTTGGGCTTAGAGGCCCTCCTGCCTCTGCCTTCTTAATGTGGGGATTATGGGGTGCACCACCTCTGTCCAGTTGCTCTTATGTTTCTTTCTATTGTCTGTTTTTGAGTCAGGGTATCACTGTGTAGCTCTGGCTGGCCTGGAACTTGCTGTGTAGCCCAGGCTGGCCTTGACTCACAAAGATCTGCCTGCCCCTTCCTCCCTGATGCTGGAATTAAAAGTATGTGCCAACTAAGCTCTTGTTTGTTTTTTAAACAAAATCTCACAACGTCGAGCTGGTTGTTCAAGAATTTGCTAGGCATACCATGCCTGATTGAATTTGCACTGTCTGCTTGCCTCTGTCTTCCGTGTACTGGGATTCCAGGCATGTGTTTTCCGGGCTCAGCAGGCAATGTCAGCTTATCATTCTGCTGATTGTGAGTTTTGTTGAGGCAGGGTATGAGTCTATATTCCAGGCTGGCCTGAATCTTACTGTATAGCCCAACCTAGCCTACAATTCATGACTTTTCTGATTGATCATTCTGAGTGCTGTTACAGGTTTATACCACTATGCCCAGCTCTTAATATGAGTCTTGTATTTAATTATGGCTAGTATATTTTTATGTCTTTAGGGATATGTTTTACATTTAACATGTAAGGGTTTAATAAAAATACTGCTCAGGCACATAAAAAATTTCAGTCTATGAAAAAAGTTTGGTGTTGAAAAGAACTTATTCTAAGCTACCGAAGTACCCATGTACGAGTTCTCATACAGAAGCAACAAATCCCACAAATGAGAGAGAGTCATATAATCCATAGTATGTTACGATTTTGGAATCTGAGGAGCTAAGGAAGTGGTGCACAAGCATAAGGAGCTGAGCTCAGACCTGTCACCCACATAGGAAGCTGGGTATTGTGGCTGGAACCCCAGCACTGGGAGGTGGAGACAAGAGGCAGGCTTTCTGCACAGTCTAGCCAATTGCTGAGCCTCACGTTTAGTGAAAGATTCTGTCTCAAAAAATGAGATTCAGAGTGATAGAGAAAGACACCCAACATCAGTCTCAGGCCTTCACGTGTGCACGCAGAGGTGTATGCATGTGTCCATACAGGCAAAGATTTTGGGACCCAGAGTTTGTTAGTCTGAATCTGCCTCCTTCAAAGAGTCTGCCTTCATAAAGATCCATATTGAACATTCAGTCTTGCTCTTATCCTCTTGCAAAGCCCAGTGACTGGTAACAAGAAAAAATGTGGTGATTAATGGGCTATGCTAGCAATTCACCTTAGTCAGCTGCAATATTATTCTGTCGCAGTAAATCCTTTCACACTAAAGTCAGATTGTTGAAATTCACCCCTTCTTTCAGACTTGCATTGTTCTACCAAAAATTGAGTTTCACAGTGGCATTTATAGTAATCTAATAGTCTTTCTATGGGCAATAAATTACTAGGGCACTGTATAGTCAACCCAGTCATTTTAACAGCTTCATCGATTGTTGATCAATGTACAATCTATTAGGTTTTAGTGGGAGATACTTACTTTGAAGATAGTCTAAATGGCCAATTAATTAGTTGTAAAGCTAGTTAGTTTCATGGCTACTATAGCCATAGTGATAGCTCTGTCCAATCACTCTCTACCCAAGGTTTCCTTAATGATGCTTCAATCACAGTAATTCCCTCCAGTAGGCATCATAGATCATTTGTATTTTTCCATTACCCTGAAACACAATAACCTTACTCCTCTGTCATTGCCATTGATCAATATTTATTGAATATCCATAAATTGCCCCAAATTGTCTCTGCTGTTGAACTTTGGACCTCTGCTCTCATAGGTCAGAGTCCTTACCTGTCAATGCTATGATATAAAAATATTGGAAGGAGTTACCTTCTCTCCCTTCTTAAAGAGAATTCTGTATCGAACTTGATGCTAAATAAAGTGAACCTAGTTTTCTAGGTTTTATTTGAAACTTGCTCAGGGAGTAAAACAGAATGTTTATATATGTAGTTAAATATCCTATCTAAATTAAGTATGTCCACCACTTACCCATTAAAAATTTTATACAAGCACAATAACTGAAAAACAAAAATAATTATTTTCCTTTCTAAATTATTTCTTTTTGTTCTATTTTCTTTCTTTCGTCTTTTGTTTTGCTTTACTTTTACATTCCACCCTCCATGAAATTCTGGAAATTCAGTTCAGAGTCTCACTTATGCTAGGGAAATACTTTACCACTAAGCTGCATTCTAAGGTCTCCCCTACTTTCCAATTTGAAAAAGAAATTTGTTTATGTATATATTTATTGAGATGATGTATCACTACCTAGTCTGCTGGCGTAGAATTTCCTTTGAAGCCAAAGCTGTATACTTGTGATCCTCTTGGCCTGGCAACTCAAGTTCTGAGATTACAGGCACATTCTGCCATGCTTAGCTAGTTCTTTTAAATTTCTACAGGGCTCAGTGATTAAGATCAGTGCTCTTCTGGTGGATTTGTGTTCTGTCCCAGTAGCTGTGTTAGGCACCTCACAACTGTCATATAAGTCCAGTTCCAGGAGATCCAACACCCTCTTCTGGCTTCCTTGAGCATCACAGAATACAGACCTATATTTTTGTTTCATTTTTATTTTAGTGCTTGTTTGTTAGTACAGAGTCTCATTATATAACCCTGGATGGCTTGGAACTTACAAGATCCACCTGCCTCTACCTCCCAAGTGCTGGGATTAAAGGTGTGTGCCATCATGTCTGACAGGGCTATAGTTTTAACTTCATGAGACAAAAAGGAACACATGCTCTTCTCCATAAAAGCACTTCTTGTGGTTCATTGGTTGGGATTTTTGGGTAGGTATCATGACAGGCTCTCACCTTGTAACCCTGGCTGGACTAGAACTCACTGTGTAGAGCAAACTGGCCTCCCACTCACAGAGATCTGCTTGCTTCTCCCCTCCAAGTGCTGGAATTAAAAAACATGTGCCACCATGCCTGTCCCTGGTTAGTTGGTTTTTTAAGATAGAGCCTCATTATGTGTCCAGTGCTGATTTTTTAAACTTGTGATCCTCCTGCCTCAGTGTCTCCAGTGTTGGAATTGTGTTTGTGTGCCACCATTCCTGGCTTAGTTCCAATTATTTAAATGGAAAAAAATTGTACTGTATAGTTCAAAAAGTTAACAGGGACTAACTATCTTTGAGTACAAAGATTCAAAAGAGTTTGATTTTCTTTCTGTTTTCCACATTTCAATTATCAATAATTTGTGCTCTTTTTTTGAGACAGGCTCTCTACATGGCCATGGCAGTCCTAGAATTCACTATATAGACCAGGCTGGTCTTAAACTCAAAGAGATCCACCTGGACCTTGGTCCCCTACTTATAAGTAACCAATGGGCATCTTAGGCTTCATGTGGGCCCACTAGTTAAGGGAGTAGGGGATACCTCTGACATGGACTATGTTGCCTGCTTTTTGATCACTTTCCCCAATGGGATTGCCCTACCCGGCCACAGGGGAGGAAGATGAACTCAGTCCTCATGTGAATAGGTGAGCTGGGGCTCTCCCAGCAACAGGGGAGGGGAAATGTGGGAGGGAAGAAGGGAAGGACTGTGAGGAGAGGAAGGAGAGGCCTTGACCGAGATGTAAATTGAATTTAAAAAAAAAAAAAAATCCATTTGCCTCTGCCTCCCAGTGCTGGCATTAAAGGCATATTCCACCATTCCCAGATAATTTGTGTCATTTTATATTGTTTTTTTATGTACAAAGATAAGATACATGTTGAATAGGTATAGTTTAATTGCTTCCTTTGGTCTCATTTAACTGTAAAAGCAGGGGAATTAATGGGTCAGGAAAATATATTAATGTAGTAACCCTGACTCAGAAAGACAAGTAATAGAACATATTCTCCCTCTAAATTTAGTGTGTGTGCTACTGAAAATTGTGACTTTCCCTATAGCTAGGTACTTAACTCCAACTCAGAGTATCAGGAGACACTGAAGGTGGGACACAGTACAACTATCAGGGTGCATATGCCTTTATCCCATCTATCCTTCCTCTTGCATTCCCAGAACCTAGGAGTTGGGTAAGTTCATGTCTTTATCTTTGGGCTCCTTCAAGCTCCTTTTACAGTATACATCTACCAGCAACAGATAATTTTTGTGGAACTACAATTTAAGCTATGTAACCTACAAAACGGAAGTTGATCCCTATAATTCACACAAATTTTCATATATATTGGGTTTGCCAGATCTATAAGATAATCTATTTCCTCTCCCAGACCCAAGAGGATTGGCTTACTCTTTTATTAATTTACTCCCTTAATAGAGAACAAAAGGGGCTGGAGAGGTGGCTCAGGGGTTAAGAAAACTGACTGCTCTCCCAAAGGTCCTGAGTTCAACTCCCATCAACAACATGGTGGCTCACAACCATCTAGAATGATATCTTGTACCCTCTTTTGGTGTGCAAGATGCAGGCAAAACACTATGTGTGTTTTTATATATATGTTATTTATTATATATGTGTTATACATATATATATATAATCTTTTTTTAAAAAAAAGAACATGTAAGAACAGGTGTAAAGCAGGCAAAGACTGTCATTTAACAGTTACTGGTTATTCATTTTTTTGAGTTTCAGTCAGTTACTATTGCTTACAAATGTACTTAGAAATGGTGGTGGTGAAAATGCAAGTGTATTTCTATAAAAATCAAGTTTATTTTTCAGCATGTTTTTTATTTTGATGAAGTCTTTGGTGAGGCATGCAGCAATCAAGATGTATACCTGAAGACTGCTCACCCACTCATTCAGCATATTTTCAACGGGTGAGACAGAATGATTGCTTCTCTTACTTTTAGTTTTGTATTCTCCACGCTCTGTGTTCCTTTACTAATACATGAGTGCTTTTCTAGTTCTTTTGAATTAAATATGAATTTATGTTGTAACCTAATGAACATAATTAGACTCCTGGATTCATAGGGTTTACCAAACATTGAGAAATTTACAACAAAATATCCTTTTACACTGGAGATACTGTTTCTCTGTTTCCTGGAAAGCTAAGAGCTCTCAATAGTTTAGTTTTGTCAGTGTCTTCAGAATAAAAGATGTAAGTGGTTGTATTTAGCTTGAACTTTGGCATCTCAAAGCACTTGGGAGGCTGAGGTGAGGAAATAAACACAAGCTCAAGGTCAGTCTACATGATGAGCTCCAAGAGCCAAGGCCTGGGTTACAGTGAGAGTTACCACAAAACAACAAAAGCACAGCATGACTGCAAAAGGAGAGAAGAGACAAAGACTCTAGGATACATCTAAGCATCTTATGTGGGATAGACTTGGTAAGTGCTTGTTGTTCTCTGTGCGTACGTGTGGGTGTGTGTGCTGGGAAGCGAACTCATTGCCTCCTTTGTGTAAGGCAAGCACTGAATCAACTGAGCTATATCTCTAGATCAAGTGGTCTTCCAAGTTCTCTTATTTCCTTATACTCAACAGTTGTCTCATGTAGTATTATCAGTTCTGTAAAGTAATTCCTTTAAGAAAACACATCTTAAGGGGCCGGAATCAAGGTGTAAAGTGATTAAATTTTTTAAAATTAAAACAAAAAAAAAGAAAACATATTGTTTCGAGGATGATTTTACTTTGTGTGTTCATACTATAAAGCCTTCCTCTCCTTAAAGAATTATAGGCTAAATTTCTTCAAAAATTCTTTTCCTTCCTGATTTGTCATTTAAATATTTCTATGAAAATTATCATTTCTTTTTATATTTATAAATAATTCTATTTATTCTTCCCCCAGAGGCAATGCCACTTGCTTTGCATATGGACAGACAGGTGCTGGGAAAACCTATACCATGATAGGAACTCAACAAAACCCGGGATTGTATGCTCTGGCTGCCAGAGATATCTTTAGGCAGCTCAGAGTGTCCCAGTCAAGAAGGAACCTGTTTGTGTGGATCAGCTTCTACGAGATCTACTGTGGACAACTGTATGACCTCCTGAATAGAAGAAAACGGTACTATATACGAGCGACAAGTTGTTGGTCTGTATGTTACTGTTTGAGCCAGTGCTCCACAGGGTCACTTTGAGCACATAATTTTCATGTGAAATGACAGTCTCTTGCATGGAATATTCTTTCTTCCCTTACTTCCTTTTTCTCTTTTGAGACTGTCTGACTATCTAGTCCTCTCTAGTATAGAACTTGCTGTTTTGCCCGGGTAGCCTTGAACTTGTGATCATCCTGACTCAGCTTCCCAAGTGATGGAATTAAACACTTTTGCCACTATGCCTAGCTTGGATACTTATTTTTTTTAAACTTAATCCAGCTAGAGAAAATTGTAAATTAGCCATTCATTAATATCTTTTCAGCGCTGGGGCTGGGTGTTATTTATTTAAAGAAATATGAGGCTGGTTAACCGATATTCTCTGCAGGTTTATTAGGGTAAGGAGGGAGTGGGAAGCAGGACATGGTAGGGAGAGAGAAAGAAAAGGGAAGGGGAAGGGGGGCATCCCCAGAGAGAGAGAAAGAGAAAGAGACTGTAAGAGAGAGAAAAAGAGAAAGTAAGAGCGAGTAAGAGTGTAATTAAGAGAAAGAGTGTAAGAGAGCGACCATGTGTCGAGGTTAGCCCTTTAAGGGGAAAGGTAACCACGCCTTCCATGTGTGGCCGCCTGGCTGGTGACACATGATGACATCACAGGAGCAGGTTGTGTTCGAAAATACTAACATTCCTCCCTTTTTCTATAATTAAAAATGGGGAGCTTGGGCTGCTTTTTATAAGGTAAGTTAAAGTATATAAATTTAGGCTCATTGGAAGCAGCTCTTGGTTGTCATGCAAGAGGATGAGAGAGAGAAGAATTATAGCAACAAAATGGTCAGATTGCAAGGTCAAGAGTAAAACAAGCCTCTGCCCTGGAAAATTTAGGGTAGAGGGTTATCAATAGAGAGAGTTGCCAGCCATGCAAGGCAGCAGGTAGGGACTGGGGAACGCTGGGAGAACCTGGAGCCGTCTGTCCTGGTCCTGAAGCACACCATTTCAGCCTTTTGTTAACAACAAGTGAATAATGAGCGTAGATTCTCTTCTGGCTACTTCCTGCTGACACTGGGGACGCTGTAGGGAGGTCAAAAGGCTGAAATGTTGGCCAAGTCCACCAAGAATAGGCTGCTTTGATGCTTTCCAGGGTCTGCAAGAACATCCATGGCTGGGAGGGAAGGTGCAGGTTCAGCTTGTTGGAAGTCTGTGATGTCAGAGCTGAACACCTGCAGCTTTTTGGAAGACCGTGAGGTCAGAGTTGAACACCTATAGCTGCTTTGGCACTGTTGTGGCTATAGGAAACATCTGTATCTGGCAGGACACTGAAACACATATATAGACAAAAGATAAAGTTGAGTATGGAGAAAAATCCTGTAGGTATACATTGAAAGGTTTGGATCGATGAGGCTTGTACATGGGAACCTCTGTCTACCCGGGGGACCTTTATCTATCCAATCTCTGGCAATATTTAAAGAAGGCTTTGTCACTGAAGTGAGGTTTGGTTACAGAAGAGTGTAAACTTAGAGGCCCTGGTGCCACCTGGCACTAGGTGTGGAAACCTGAAATTCTCCAGAGGATATCCTATCTGGAAGGACAGGCATCTGGGCGTCTCCCATTGGGGACAGAGAAGTCAAGACCTTCCAGAGGCGTCCCAAGGGAAGGTGTGACTCTGAACGAGAGGGGTCCTACCTGGTCCAATAGCTCATCAGCTTTTGGCCAGAGACCAGGGCACAGTGCCCAGTTGCACAGCCGAGAGCACACGGCTGCCTAGCGCTAGGTCTTCCACGAGCGAGCGAGAGAGGGGGAGAAGGAACTGTGTGTGAGAGGGGACATACCGCCCAAGGGAGAGTGTGGCCCTAAAATGGAGGTCAGCATAGAGCCTTCACCTAGACAGTTAAGGCTATGGCTGGGAGGAGTCCCTCCATCTCAAAAGATAGTACGAAGTTGCCAGAGCTCTGCGGTCAAGCTTCCCCTACCAAGAAAGGCATTTATGCTGAGAAAATGGAGTGAACTCACCAATCTAGTGGCTGGTCAATAAGGAGAATTCACCAATCCAGCCAGTGGTTGCATGCAGTAAACAGCAGTCTGGTAGCCAGGGAAGGAAGTCCCAAAACAAGGAAAGGGGAGGGGTCCCACCTTTTGAGATAGGCAATAAGTGCAGTACTTATCTGGAGTTGAATTGACCTGGGAGGTGGATTTAGGTGGACTTTTTGCAGCTTACAAGAATTACTTTTAAGTTTTAAGAAGGAGATAAAACTTTAGACATGTTAATATAACAATTGTACTCTGCATTGAAATATACGTTGTAGAAAAAGCAGTAGACATACATATTTGTGTTAATAGCATAAGTATTTTTTAAGGTGAACTCTGAAAAGGCAAAAGCCTTTTATGAAGTAAAAGGGAAACTCACTTGATCTTAACTTTTAGTATAAGCATACACATTAGGGAGGCTTACAATCCTGAGCTTAGGACCATAATAGTAGAATAGTGGTATAGTGGAATGTTTTCGTATCAGAGTTAGATTAATAAATTAGAGCCCTATTAATAAAGGCCAAAACTCTGGACAGTCAATGCAACAGTAGCATAACAATAGGAAGAAGTATTAAGCCTTTTTACCTATTTAAGATACCTTAAATCACCTTAGACTTTATAACCTTTATAATTTGCATTTATCAACCTTAAAACATTTTTTAGACCCTCAAACATTTATAAGTTGCATCACCAACCTTAAGACACATTTTTAGACTGTCAAACATGTATAACTTTTATTTATTAACCTTAAGACATCTCTCAAATGTTTTTTGAGAGGGTCCTTTGTATTTAGTTATTTACATGAGACATAGTTGAAACTGCTATGAGCATTTATTGTCCTTTAGCTAAAGAGATGGTAAAAGGTTTCATTTAGGCCTGTTTCTTGAGTCTGGACTGTGTCTAGGCCTAAAAGTAGCAGCTCTGGGAGTTAGGCTTAAGGCCTGGTCTCCTGCATATGAAGAGAACTGGGAAGGCACCTGAAGTCTCCCAACACAGAAGTTGGCAGTATGTTTGTGGGACCTCATTCTGAGGTCAAAAACAGACCTGTGTGAGAGCTGTGGAGGTTGTTAAGTCGAGGAGCCACCTGTCCTCTGCCAGGCCAACGAGCTAGAAGGCTGGAAGTGTCTGTGCTCTTGTGCTGGTTGAACCTCCAGGCTCAGAGGACAAGCCTGCTTGGGAGCATTTTGACTTCCAGAGGCCAGTTTGCCGCAGCCAGCTTTAGTGTGTCAGCAGCAGGATCAGCATCCATTTGGCTGCATTTGAACACATCACCTGGCAGAACAGACTTTTTGGCTATGCAAACACTTTGCGTTTTTGCAGGAACACCAGGAACTTACGAACACAGCTAGGTCTAGGTTTAGAGCACTTCGGGATGGCTGTTTTTACCAACTCTATATGGAGACTCAATGACCATCCTCAGCTGTTTATTAAAAATTGCAGTGAGACCATGTTTGCATCTGCAGGACTATAAATATGTATGAAATGACTATTAACCTGCATTTGTTAACCATTAAATATTAGGACTTTAGGTTTTGTCCTTGCTAAGTTAGAATCTTAAAAGTCATGAATATCATTTATTAAAGTGAGCGCATAAGAGTTTTTGTATGATTAATATATAAAAGTTTATAGCTAAGGCAATACTACAGATTAATATCATTTTTAGAGAACAAGACCAAGCTTATATTAACCTTTTGATAGCAGAGATGTAGTAAATTGACCCAGTTTTAATATAAATATATTTTTAAAAATTAATAGATCTTAATTTAGAATATTGGTAAACAATTTGTACATAATAACAAACCCCTGAGCTATAAGTTTAAAATCAACAATTTAGCAGAACAGTGTAAACCAAATTTTAAAATTAACCAAGCATATTTTAACCTTTTGATAGTAGAGATGTATTAAATTGTCCCAGTTTTAATATAAATAAATACCTGTAAAATTAATAGATCTTAATTTAGAATATTGGTAAACAATTTGTATGTAACAATGAACCCCTGAGGAGAACAGTTTAAAGCGATCTTAAAATTATATTTGAGCAACACATAGTAGGAGACAGTAACAGTCTTATATTTTAAACCAACTTAATCTGAATAGATATTTATAACTTTGAAATTTTATTATTATATAAAATTTATTTTGAAGCAGGGTTGAATCATAAGATAGTAAAATGTAACTTTGAATTTTTATAAAAATCCATACCAAGTTGAAATGAGGCTCGTCGTTGTGGCCTAGTCTAAAAGATAAGATAAACAGTTAATTATGATTAAGACTTATAAATGCAAACCCAATGAGAAAACTATATAAATTATATAAAGTGTTAGATAAAGGAATTTAAAGCATTTTAAAATATAAGAGTAGAGTGTATAGAAATCAGGAAGAGAGAGCTTGGAAATAGTCAGAAGAAAGCATGGAAAAGCAGCTTGGAAAGGGGGTAGCTCATGGAGAGAAGGCTGGGTGTATGGGAGGTGGGGCCTCTTTGCTCAAACCTAAGATGGCGGCGACGCCACGTGAAAGTCTACGGTGAAGCCATGGTTCCGCCCATTTCTTCCCCAAACCAACATGGCGTCTGAAATCTCATGGGAATTTTTAAGTTTTCCCGGCTGTGCTGGTTTTTTAGAACTGTCCTACCCAGAGCAGCATGCCAAGCTTTTAAGGTTGATTTTAGCTCGGCGTGAATGTCCCAGGCTCGGCGCTGGAATAGCAAACACACAGGGTCCCTTTTGGCTCGCCTCCCCCCAGGGGACCCGGGTAGAGCATCTACCCTCTTACCAAACCACGCCACTGCAGACAGCACAGAGATCCAAGCCGGGGTGGGGCTGGCCTTCTCCACCGGAGCCACTGTGGAGGGAGCTGGACTGCATAGCTGTGGCTCTGACAGATTGAAGCGAGGACACCCAGTCCCAAGCGTGGGGAGAGGGGAAGCAGCCTAGGAAATCAGAGAGGACCGAGC